TTAATCCTTTTGTATGCGGGTGAATATACTGAAATGGACAACCCCGAGAAGGCACCGCTGCAGGCCGGGCAACCTGCAGGAGAGTGCCCGTCCGGCTCAATCTGGCGTGAAGGGAGGAAAGAAACAACTGGGGGCAAAACTGCGAGGGACACCCTAGAGTCGGTGAAGCAGACAGAGCCCCACACCTCCCAGGCCACGGCAGCTGGGCGGCTGTTTCTCTGAGGCCCCTGCACCCCACACCTGGCTCTGCGCCCTAGAGCCTCCCCTGGCCTCCTCGGCAAGCAGGGCTCTGCCCTGCCCATCGGTGCCACCCACTAGCACCACCCACCGGGAGAGCCTGGTCGGGGCAGCGCCTAGCAGAGAGGATTTACCCGAGGATGGGGGGGGGGGGGAATTGATGGTTAAAGAGAAGTCTTCCACGTTGGCCGATGGAAAATATTAGAAAAAGCTGAGAATCCCGAGGCTCTAGGTCAGACAGGAAAGATCATTCTTTAAAAATTCCATCTGCAAGAAAGTTCACCCACCACCCACACCCCGCAAGGCCGAAGCACGTCGAGCGAGGGTTCCGAGGCAGCGAACGTGAATGAGGACCGGCAGGGAAGGCCTCGGACCCCGGCCCGCTGCCCGCCGAGGCGCAGGCGGCCAAGCGAGTTCCCAGGCGTCACCACCTCCCCCTCCTTCCCTTTGGCTCTCTCCAGCCAATTTCCTCCCTCGTTTCTCTTCGTGCCTTCCCTCCCTCCTCCTCCCCCCGATATTTTCGCTTTCTAAAACCATAAAAAAGAGATCAACTTCCCTAACTTCACGGGGCCTTTTCCGTGACAAATATTGATGCCCAGAGTGTCCGCGCTCTCCCGCCCCCAAACGTTAAAGAAAAGGCACCCGCGAAAGGGGGACATAAAAAGTTAACAATGCTGTGAAAATATGTTTGCAGAAAATAGACAATCGTTGGATTAAACGTATTCAAGTATGAAATAATGCCTTTTTGTGTCAAAACTTGGGCGAGGGGCGGGTACAAAAGTTCACTGTGGCAGTTACTTGCTCCCTTTGTGAGCCGTGCGCTTTGGCGTCTCCACTAGGGCGCATTACCCAGAGCCTCTAAGCGCGATTGTTTCTCCCTTTCTAATGACATTTACCGGATCAAAACATGCTGTTAATTCGATCAGAAGGCTTCACCCTCCCTGACAAAGCCACAATAATTTCTCCTGAAGTTTGTTAAATTGACCAAAATTAGGCAAATGAATAGGGGGTCTGTAAGCGCCCTCACGCAGGTGACGTCGCATAATGCTCGCCTGCGCCAGCTGCATTCCCCCTTTTCTTCTCGGCCCACTCTTCTCCGTGTTGCCCCCCCCAGTCCTCCCACCCCACCCCCCTTACACTCTTACACGTACACACGCCCGCCTCCCTCTCCTCCCCCACCCTCTGGCATTATGAAAATTTAGCCCAATGAAAACTATTCATACTTTTCAATGGACATTTTCGTATAGGATAATAGGCTACAAATTGAGCCTCTTCCCCCCGCCAAGAGAGAGCCCGAAAGGGGGGGGGGAGGGAGAAAAGAAAGCAGGCGACTTGGTCAGAGAGTTAAGGGGGGAGCGTCGCGTGCCAAAGGCCCGCGGGAGGGGCGAGGCGAGGCGGGAGCCTCGTGTGCCAGCCGCAGCCCCACACCTGCCGGGATGTCCGGACAAATAAAGCGGTGTAAACAAAAAAGGGGGAGATGGACGTGTCACCAAGTCTTGTGAGAAAAGCCTGGGAACAAACGGGGCGCCTCCGTCTCCAAGAGCTCTCCCTTGAACCCGGCGGAACAGCCTATTAAAGGCTTACTTAATTACTTTAATGACTCTGGACAGGCTTTAAAACGCACTCGGTGCTGGGACGGCGGGCTTGCTGGGATTTGTAAACAGGCGATCGTGTGAGACTCAGCGGTGGGACTAAAGGAGGCGACACTGTTTTGTGAGGGTCCTCGCCCCCCGGTGCCTACGGCCACTGCGCCCCTGCGCTCCGCGCCCCGCCACTGCTGCAGGCGCTCGCTCGCCCGCCGGCCCCAGTTTACCGCCTCCTTTTCCCGCCGGGGCGGTTGCCATGCAAATGTTATTCCTCAGCCGATCACGTGTCCTTTGAAGGGCCACGTGGATTAACAAAGCTGATCTGCCCCCAGCTCGCCCCCCTCGGCTGCTAATTTTTTTTTTCTCTTAACTTCTTTAAAACTGATCTTCAATGCATACATCCTCCAAACCCAGATCCCCTAATCCTATGGAATAATTCAACTCGTGAATGCCCTTGGAGCCCTAGATGACCGCTTTATAAGGCAGCCCCTTGGAGTTGGGAGGCCTGCAGTCTACCTGGGACCATCCGAGAGGCACACGAGGTGGAGAGTGGACGGGTGCCCGGCGCCACCGCCTCTCCCCGAGGGCGCGTACTGAGCAGGATGTCAGACAAGCTCAAGGAACGCAGAGTGAGTCCTTGCGCCCTGGCAATGGAGGCCTGGGACTCACTGACCTGCCACCTGGCTGGACCGACCTCTAAGATGTAGCCACGCGAGACATTGAGTGTGGAGGAATCCTACGAGCTTTAGCCAGGGGATAGAGATAGAGAAGGTCGCGTGCTCAGCCCCGGAGAAGCTCACTCTCGGAGGCTGGCGGCGATCTCCCCAAAGTCCCACGCTTAGCGTGCCTCAGTGCTCAGATTGGGTTGGACGGTTTAAAGTGGGGCACACCTGTGCGGACCGGCGGGGAGAAAGCTCCTTGGCCTGAGTGTGGCCAAGCAGAGGTCCTTTCCAGGGGTTCGCCTCTGAGCGCGCAGCTATTACTAGCTCTTGCCTGGGGAAGGCAAGACACCCTAAACGTAAAAACAGAAAAAAACCTCTCTGTTTGCAGAGAACTCCGGTTTCCCATAAAGTGATAGAAAAGAGAAGGAGGGATCGAATCAACCGCTGCTTGAATGAGCTGGGCAAAACGGTGCCCATGGCCTTGGCAAAGCAGGTAACATCCACAGACTTGGGTGCCAGACGCTGGGAGCCCTGCGCGGCCCTCCGGACCCAGAGGCGGTGGGCCTGTGTGGCGGACCTCTCTCCACGGGCGCAGATCCCCAGGGGCCCGACGCGGGGTCACCTGAAGCCTTGCTGGGGTTGCACTGGGATGGCTGAGCCGCCACAAGTAGCCTTTTCTCCTTTGGCAGAGTTCCGGGAAGCTGGAGAAGGCGGAGATCCTGGAGATGACGGTTCAGTACCTGAGAGCCCTGCACTCCGCCGATTTTCCCCGGGGAAGGGAAAAAGGTGGGTGAGGAGAAGGGAAGGAGTGGGGAGCCACATAGACTTGGGGGGGGGGGGGGGGGGGGGTAGGAGGAAGGGGGAATGATGAGTGTAAGATCGTAGCCGAGAAATGCATCCTTGAGAACCTGCGAGATCAGGGGAAGGAAAGAGTCTTGCCAAAGCCCCTCTCCAGCCCGAGCGCTGGCGGAGCCGTAATGGAGAAGATTTTTAAGGATGCTGGTTTTCTGGATCTCCCTCAGGGAAGGATGGAGGAAGGAAGTACGGCTTTTGCCGGGGGAGGGGGGAAGAGGGGGAGGAGGTTATTTGCTGGAGCAGACGGAAAAGAAGAGGTCAGCCCTCAAGAGGGACCTTGGGCCAGGAAATGTGATAGCAGACGATCGACCCGCCCTAGCCCGCAGCTTCCCGGTGGGGAAGGGACCGCTCACGGTTTTCTTCTTCCTTACCATCTTTGCTGCCTCTCCAGCAGAACTTCTAGCGGAGTTTGCCAACTATTTCCACTACGGCTACCACGAATGCATGAAGAATCTGGTGCATTATCTCACCACCGTGGAGCGGATGGAGACCAAAGACACGAAGTACGCGCGTATCCTCGCCTTTTTGCAGTCCAAGGCCCGCCTGGGCGCAGAGCCCCCCTTCCCGGCCCTGACTTCACTCCCAGAGCCGGATTTCTCTTATCAGCTGCACCCGGCGGGACCGGAGTTTGCGGGCCACACCCCGGGCGAGGCCTCCGTGTTCCCGCAGGGTGCTGCCCCGGGGTCTTTCTCCTGGCCACCTGGCGCAGCCCGAAGCCCAGCGCTCTCCTATCTGCCCAGCGCACCGGTGCCACTCTCGAGCCCCGCGCAGCAGCACAGTCCCTTCCTGTCGCAGGTCCAGGGCCTGGACAGGCATTACCTCAACCTGATCGGCCACGCCCACCCCAACGCCCTCAACCTGCACGCGCCCCAGCACCCCCAGGTGCTCTGACACCCGCCAGATGGCCTTCCGCTCTGGGCGCGGTTTAGGGGAAATGTACATATTGTGATTGTACAGGTGTAAATATTATGCCCACTACACTGGGTGGGAGCAGGCCGCGAGCGAATTAGTCTTCAAAGGATTGTCCTCTGGCAATAAACGTTTTGTAATTAAGACCCCAAGACGTGGATTCCTTTGTTACCTTCTATCCTCTCCGAGACGCCAAGGGTACAAGAGGAGGCCCTTAGACGACTCTAAGAGACAGAAGGCTAAATGGAGGCTTAAGCGGCTATCCTTGGAGCCATAGCTTAGGGGTGGAACTGTTTTCGGTTGCTCCAATCCGCGTCGGTCAGCAGCAAGCGCGTCTTTGCCTAGGCCTCAGAAGGGAGCTGAAGCTAGAAAAGAGGTTCTGGGCCCTGAGAACAGGCAAACGGAAGGACTCCAGGAGAAGAGGCTCTGAAGAACTTCTCTCCTGCCGCGGGACTTGGGTGTCCTTTCTCCCTCCAGGCCATTGTGACCCGGGGCGCACGCACCGGCTGGCGCGCAGGTCTGGAACGCAACAAAACCCGGGCCTGCGGGACACCGAGCTGTGCACGATCTTAACACAACCCTGGGGGGGGCGGGGCACGGAGGAGAAAGTATACAGGTGTGTAGGAGAGGTGTGTGTAAGGTTCTGATATGTGACATAGAAACAACATCCATCCAAGTTTTCCTGTTTTCGGACACTAGAGAGTTCAGGGAAGCCGGCATTGCCTTTTTTACGCACAGCTGCAGCAGCGCAAGGTGACTGGGTAGGCGCTGCACTGGTTGGAAGATGTATTCCTTCCCCAG